GGTTCTTTGTGAAGTGCCAGGTACATATAAAACAATGCTAATAAATCAACTGCTTCTGCTGATACGTTTTGATCATAAAACATTTGCAAGTTTTTAAACATTCTCAGATGCATGCTGGCCATTTCAGCCATACAAGTTGTGTTGGTATCCTCCTCCTCCTCTTTCCCATTTTATTGAATCCTCAATAGTAGATTTCTGAAGAAAGAGCTCATTCGAGGCTCATTCTCCTGGCATAGGAAACAGCTAAATAGAACAACAGATAGATTTGGGTGGGGTGTGTGTGTGTCAGTCTAGGATGAAGGAAGGGAGATCATGCAGATATAATAGCATATATAAGCCTAAAATTTGTTGATTTGCAAGCTTTAAGTATCAGCACACCTAATTTTGCAAATATTTGTTTGTTAAGCTTCAAAATTATAAAACAGAATGGGAAAAAAATATGAGAACCACCACTCTAAATAATAAGAACTATCATTCTTTTTGTAAAAGAAAAATTCTTGCACCAAGATGTTCCCTAATAACTATATAGTCAGGTTCGTGTTGTTATTTTCTTTTCTTTTTAAATTTTATATATATATATATAAAACAAGGAAGCAAACTTATGATCATAAATATCAATATAACCCCAAAAAAACTCATTATTAATCCAGATTCTGGATTAAGAATTTTTCTCATACCATAATATGTGCAGTAGTCTTTAATGTTGCCAGATGCATTTTTGCTTTTGTTTTTAATGTATTAATAGAAATATACCTCTGGAATATCCAAGAGATGCAAGGAAAAATGAGAATCAGAAATCTAAAAGACATTTAGGAAGCCAAACATACAAAACTATTTTGCTTTTGGAATAAGCAACGTCACAAGAAGTGTTTCTCAAAATGAATATCAGATAGTAACCTACAGTCAAAAATGAAGATTACTCTGGTCCAAGACTTAGTTTGCATATAAAACACAGCTGAAATGGAGAAGAAATATTTTGTTTATTCTCCATCTGGCATTGCAGACAAACAAAACTTTGCATCATGGCAGCCACCACAGATGGAGCAGAGGAGTTGCCAACTGAAAGCGACCAAAAGATGCTGCTGCAAAGCCATTGTGTCATGACCCACAGGAGAAGAATTACTTCTCGGATTCTAATGTCACACTTGGCTTTCATGCTGTATTTATTTGATTTGCAAATTCAAATTGCATTTCCATTCAGAGTGGCCAGAGAGCTGCCAAGCTAATGTCTCCACCACACTTGTATTTTACCAGAATAAAGGATTTCACCATAATCTATAGTAGCGTTTTATAAAATGGGCAACGTTAAGATGGGTGGATTTCACGTCCCAGAATACTCCAGCAGGCTCTGGGTTTATAGCAGAGGTATCAAACTCGATTTCATTGAGGGCCTCATCAGGGTTGTGTTTGACCTTGGGGGAGGGGCAGGGTGTGTGCGGCCAGAGAAAGTGTCACCAGCTTGACGTCAGATGTGTCGGGGTGCCTGTGATGGCCTGAAAACTCTGCCAGTGAAAAGGGCTCCCAAGCTCTGTTTACAGCTGCGATGGCCTCCTGCAACCCTCTGCTAGTAAAAGTGGAGCTCAGGAGGACTGCACATGACTTTTCCAAGCTCCGTTTTTGCCTGAAGAGGCATCAGGGGCCACTTTTTCACTGTTTCCAGGGTGGCCCCCATGGGCCAGTTCTAAGCATCCTATGGGCCAGATTTGGCCCACAGGTCTTGAGTTTGATATCCTTGGTCTACAGCAGGGGACAGCAATCTGTTGCTCTGGAGCTGCATGTGGCTCTTTCCACCCTCTGCTGCGTCTCCGTCACCGGTCAGCACTCCTTTTGAGAGGAGCTTCTGGGGGGGAGGGGTGCAGAAGCACAGTGCGCCAAGAGAAGACTCTATGGCAAGGGGAGGGTTTTCCAGTCGTCTCCACAATTGATAGGGCTTTCAGTTATGACAGGTAGAAGAAAAAGTACGCTAGGAGGAGACTCTATGGTGGAGGAACTGAACTTCCGGTCAGCTCCATAATTGAACAGGGGGCTTCCGGTTAGGACCTTTGTGGCTACCGGTGTTTTCTTTTCTGTGGGAAACGAGTCCAGATGGCTCTTTGAGTGTTTAAGTTTGCCGACCCCTGGTCTATAGGAATCAGAATTAAAGCACAACAAAGAAGAACATTGAAGGAAGCAAGTTACTGTTCACATATGAGAATATGTTACATCCTTTTTCAGTATAGCTAATTTCTTCTTCATAAAAAAAAACAGTTCAAAATACCCATTGCTCATAGCACAGAAAGACTACTTGTCCTCTTTCCCTTCTTTCAACCATGGGCTTCAGGAAAAGTAAGAAAGAGTTTTATCAAGAGTTTCAGAATACTACAGTCCCAGAACTCTGGGGGAGATTGTCCTGTAAAACCACAAAATATATGGCTGGTCCTAGCCAGCACAGCAATTTTCCCCAAATAAAGAAGAAAGATTCATCGCCAATTTGCTTGTGGGGTTGATTTTTTAAAAAAACCTACAGGTGAGTGGATCTGCTCTTAACTTAGTCTTGGTGTAAATATCATGTCGATGTTTTTAGTTTCTTCAATTTACGTTCTTACCTAGTAATCAGATTGACAAATTAAGGGATCCTAAATTTTTTTAAACTCCCACATCTTATTGAAACATTGTAACAAAAATTAGAAAGCATTTTAAATTCAATTATGGAAATTATGACTGAATCGTACTTTTAAAGTTTAATAGCTACACCAAACACAAGTGTATAAGTAAAGTGAAGATTTTTCTGCAACCAATAAAACCAATATAATTACAGAGTCTGCAGAGCACAGCTAAAACGCTGCTGTTTTAGACCATCTTGCGTCTCCTATGAATTAAGCAAGTTATATATTTTGTACTGCATGCTTTTAAAAAGATAATTATTTTGTGCAGGACTATATTAAGCATAGAACCAAATAAAATGTTCTTATTAAGGAATGGGTGGTGTGTGTGGAGAAAGAGAGGCTGAGAACAGAAGAAAATAATAATTTTGTGGCAAAACAATTATAATGGAATTCAGGGAAGCTGGATATTCTTGAACAGGATTCACTTTAAAAAATATTGCTGGTTTCTAGGAGTTAAACTGCACGGTTCATGTTAAAAACTTCACTCTGCATGGCATAATCAAGGAAATAGAAATGCTCTTAGCTTATTGATGATCTTCCTCATGGTTAAATAAAACAATATGACATATAAAGGGAGCAGAATTTGGCTCTTAGCACAAAGTTTAGATATTTCTCATGTGCAGCAGAATTTAGAAAGCCAAGAATGGAAAGCTCCAGCCATATAAATCCTACTGAAACAACACAACATAGAGTAAAACCCAGGGATGAAATTCAGCAGGTTCTGACAGGTTCTGGAGAACCAGTAGTGGAAATTTTGAGTAGTTCAGAGAACCAGAAAATACCACCTCTGGCTGGCTCCAGAGTGGGGTGGGAATGGAGATTTTGCAATATCCTTCCCCTGGGTAGGAATGCAAATTTTGCAGTATCCTTTCCCTGCCACGCCCACCAAGCCACGCTCACAGAACCAGTAGTAAAAAAAATTAGAATTTCACTACTGGTAAAATCCTCTTGCTCCTTTACAACAAATTAGTCAACTAAAACTCTTTCACAGGTTAGTGGGCTTCAGATGTAGGAGCCTTCCAATACAACTTATAACATCCTTCTATTAAAAAGAGAAAACATGGCTGGAAGAATATAATCCTGGGTTGGATAATCAATGATTTATATTCAGAAAATAATTACATTTAAGAGATATTAAGAACTATTAGCTCTCTACATATTCCCTAAGATTTTGTTTAAAGCTGAACACTTTTCTGTTTAAGCTATGAATTTTTAAAATAATATGAGTGGTTACATAAACATTTTAAATAAATAAATACCATAAAGCTTTGAAGACCTGACTTTCCCCTCAAGCAATAGGATAAGAAACTGGATGACTAGAATTTGGTTTTTTTTCAAATTTTTAAAAAGTTTTATAGTTTTATGTTGTTTTTTCTTTTACAGACTTGTTTATAAAATGGGCAGAATAAAACAAATTAAGTAAAATATTACAATTGCCACAGTGGTCAGCTCTATTAATATTGGTTTCTCTCCCAAAAACAATTTCATTACTAAATGGTCTTCATGCGAGGAGTCTTATATGAAAACAGGGAAGAATTGGGAGGAAGCAAGCTTCCTTGAAGCCACTGTCCACCAATTCCTGAAAATGGTGGACACACACTGAAATTCAGATGGATCGGGGTAAAATCCAGCAGGTTCTGACAGGTTCTGGAGAACCGGTAGTAGAAATTTTGAGTAGTTCTAAGAACCAGTAGCGGAAATTTTGAGTAGTTTGTAGAACCGGGAAATGCCACTTCTGACTGGCCCCAAAGTGGGGTGGGAATGGAGATTTTGCAGTATCCTTGCCCTGCCATGCCCACCAAGCCACGTTCACAGAATCGGTAGCAAAAAAAATTGAATTTCACCACTGAGGTGGATGCTGACACTAAAACATCCATGTTTTGGTAAGCGAGCTTCAATCTGGCCCACTTAGCAAGGCAGTAGGATCATGATTCACAACATTGCTCATTATTGTGACTTGTTTGAAAGCCTTTATCCGTCATATCCGGGCTCATTAGAAATTCAGTGGAAGTGCAGTTAATGGAAGACTTCTTGTTTACTTGCTGAAGAAGAGAACCATATGCTGCCAAAAACCCATGCTCAAAATTCAGCTTATAAAAGCAATGCAGGGTCATCTAAATTTTCCCACACTCTCAGGGCGGGTAGAACTTCTAATGTTTGCGCCAATCTTTTTATAGGACTTTTTAATGGAAACTGAAATATTGCAAATACTTTTTTTTTTTAATCAGCACGCTTTTAAAAAAAAACATGAAAAGGTAATATTGTTGTTTTTAAACACAAAGTGCCATTGGCTGGACCTCTTCTGCTCATTCCTCCCACAACTTATAAACAATGTCAATTTCCCCTTTTACTCACCCGCTGGAAGCTCAGCACTATTGATTGAAGAAGGAGGAGAAGCGCCCGCCTTATTCTTTGCCTTCACTGTAAATATGCAATCATTCTTCCCAATGTTTATTTTGGTGGAGTTGTGGGATGCAGGAACGGATTCATTCTTTGTGGATTTATCCGGAAGGGTCCAATGGACCTCATAAGTCTCTATCAATCCATTGCTTTCAAAAAGAGGGAGTGGCTGTCCAGAAAAAGATTGTACACACAAGCAGATAATTATTCCAAGGAAAAGGAAAAAGGAAGTGAGAGCGTAAACAAAAGTCTTTAAAAAGTCTGTCATATATTACACACACACACACACACACACACACTATATATATATATATGTGTGTGTGTGTGTGTGTGTGTGTGTGTGTGTGTGTGTGTGTGTGTGTGTG